TGAGAGAAAATAAAGTAATGGAAGCGGTTTTAAACCCTAGATATGAGTCAACTTGGACAGAAAATGAAAGGTAGATAAAATTTACAAGGATGATATACGGATGAGATTTTGATCGAAGAAAAATACCTTTTATGAGAGAAAGTAAGTTACAGAGGGTGGCTTAATAAATTTATATTGGCACAAGTAAACGGGGAAAGTTTGTTCGACTTCAAATGCTGCCATTTTCCTAAACAATTACATTTGCCTCCTCAAACAAAGTGAAAGATGCAATCGATTTAAGGGAAAAGATCTTTCACTTGTAGTAAATAAAGTAATAAGAATTAAATCACCATTTCGAGTCAATTTACAGTGTGTTTCGTTATATTTAAGAAATCAAATATTTGGCGAATTAAAGCATTTTTAATTGAAGTTGGCATTTGGATAAGCCACGAGCACAAGACCATAGTGAATTAAGCATAATTTACTCAAAAAAAGGGCTTAATCAAATTTAGTAATTGGGTGTAATGTCACGGACTAAGGATGTTAGCTTAAGAAACAATCCAATATAATTGAGAATACCTACATCTGTTACCATGAGTGCGCAGTAGGTCAGCTATGTTGAACCTTGTATATGCAACAACGATTGATGTATCCCCATTCTGAGCAGGTGGGTCGTGATGCAACTTGACAAGCCGAAGATGTATAGGCGCATCAAGACTGATAAGAAAACATAAATTTTTGGCGAAATACCGGCCTCCAAGACTTCAGTGATTCCGTACTATAACGCCAAGTTCCAGAAGCGCTCGAAGCAAACACTTGTCCAGCCGAAAATGGGGGTAGTGGAGCTCGGAATGTGACAGAGTCTAGATCGATCCGTAGGTCGGGACTATAAATCACAGTACTCAACAATGACGAGGCCGAAGTTAGCAAAATTTTGACTTGGGAAACTTAAAACAGAAGGCTATAATGATAAAACACCCCTACAGCAGTTAAGTGCGGAGCCAAAGTCGCGTAAAAGAACATACAAGTAAGTTTAGGCAATAATAGATTAGAGCCATTAGAGACACAGTTATTGTTGGCCATGAAAGAATAGCACTAAGCTCATTTACATCGGCATAATAGGAAAATACAATGCAATAAGGGCACAGAGAAAAGGACTGGTCCAATAAAACGCGAGAAAGTAGACAATTACAGGGGAAAAGGAAGTTAACGAGTCGAATTAAAAAGAGCCGTCAAATAAAACAATTATGTACAAAATAACATTTCATCATTAGTAACTTTGTAAATATTATTAAAACTTGTTAAGTTAACTTTATTGCTTATTGCTTAATGACGTGATGAAATATATTATAAAATTATCAATTGTTTTTATTTTTTTATTTTTAATTGTATTATTTAACCTTATTCTACTCCCAATGAGTCAGGCTGGCACCCCGGCTCAGGTCTCCAAGTCGGAGGCGCTGAGGCGGTATCTCGAGCGTCCTAAGTCTAAAAAAAAGGCGAATGATATAACAGTCAAGTATATCAGGTAATTTTCCCTTTTATTTGAATAATCAGTGGCGACTTGCCAGAAACTCTTGATGCTTTACATGATTCTGGAAATGAGTTTTTGCCTTTGGCTCAAGAAGACGATCTGGGTATCAATGCTCCAACTATTGTGAGAAATCGCAGACATTCTCCTACCATTGAAGAAAAAAAGGTCGAAATGC